TTCCAGGGCGGTTGGTGACATCATGTCAACGCTCTTCTTCCCAGTTGTACCATACATCTTGCAGCTTTTCTTCCTGGCATTCTTCTGTGTGGTGGCTCTCTTCTTATCATCAGCAGGGAAGGCTGAGTACAGAGTCATGTGCCCAGGCAATGTTTGTGTTGGCTGCAGCGGTGTTACAGTATGTATATGTTTATAGATCCATCTTTGTGTCTTTGACAGTTGAACACTCACATTCTCTCTCTCTCTCTCTCTCTCTCTCTCTCTCTCTCTCTCTCTCTCTCTCTCTCTCTCTCTCTCTCTCTCTCTCTCTCTCTCTCTCTCTCTCTCTCTCTCTCTCTCTCTCTCTCTCTCTCTCTCTCTCTCTCCTCTCCCTCTCTCTCTCTCTCTCTTCTCTCTCCTCTCCCTCTCTCTTCTCTCTCTCTCTCTCTCCTCTCTCTCCTCTCTCTCTCCTCTCTCTCCTCTCTCTCCCTCCCTCTCTCTCTCTCTCCTCTCTCTCTCTCTCCTCCTCTCTCCTCTCTCTCCTCTCTCTCCTCTCTCCCTCCTCTCTCTCTCCTCCTCTCCTCTCTCTCTCTCTCTCCTCCTCTCCCTCTCTCCTCTCTCCTCCTCCTCTCCCTCTCTCTCTCTCTCTCTCCCCTCTCTCTCTCTCTCTCTCTCTCCTCTCTCTCCTCTCTCTCTCTCTCTCTCTCTCTCTCTCTCTCTCTCTCTCTCTCTCCCTCTCTCCTCTCTCTCTCATCTCCTCTCTCTCTCTCTCCTTCTTCTCTCTCTCTCCTCTCTCTCTCTCTTCCTCTCTCCTCCTCTCTCCTCTCTCTCTCTCTCTCTCTCTCTCTCTCTCTCTCTCTCTCTCATCTCTCTCTTCCTCTCTCTCTCTCTCTTTCTCTCTCTCTCTCTCTCCTCTCTCTCTCTCCTCTCTCTCTCTCTCTCTCTCTCTCTCTCTCTCTCTCTCTCTCTCTCTCTCTCTCTCTCTCTCTCTCTCTCTCCTCTCTCTCTCTCTCTCTCTCTCTCTCTCTCTCTCTCTCTCTCTCTCTCTCTCTCTCTCCTCTCTCTCTCTCTCTCTCTCTCTCTCTCTCTCCTCTCCTCTCCTCTCTCTCTCTCTCTCTCTCTCTCTCTCTCTCTCTCTCTCTCTCTCTCTCTCTCTCTCTCTCTCTCTCTCTCTCTCTCTCTCCCTCTCCCTCTCCCTCTCCCTCTCCCTCTCCCTCTTCTCCCTCTCCCCTCTCCCTCTCCTCTCTCCCTCTCCCTCCTTCCCCACCTTCCTTCCTTGTCCCCCTTCCTCTTTAAGCAAGTAAACAAATGAGAGAATATCTCAAATACTGTTTAATTCAGGATATCATACGTCCGAGTATTCATGTCAATATTTGTTTTATTTTCAGGAAAATGCCACGTGTAATTTTGAAACCTTTGATAACTCTTCTTGCCCTGGAGCGATGTGCCAGTTTTATGACTATTATGTAGATCCTAACATACCTCGCCTTCATGTAAGTATGCTCTTTGTGGTAAATGAAAAAGAAAAGAAAAGAAAAGAAATAGAAGAATGATGTGTATGGAGGAAAGGAAACTGTCACATACCTTTATTTATTTTTGATGATCTGTTTTGGTAGACAATTTTGTACTTTTGAAAAATTGAAGTCTACTTGTAAGTAGGATTAGGAATTTTAATAATCGCCAGCTTTGTGATCATTAACTATGTCTGTTTTGTTTATTAGCTACTTAACTTCTTTTCTTTTTTTTCTGATAGATCTACAATGTGTTTGGCCTGTTTTGGTCCATGTTCTTTATTTCTGCCTTCGGAGAAATGGTGTTGGCTGGAGCCTTTGCCTCGTGGTACTGGGCTTTTGACAAATCAAAGGACGTGCCTTCATTGCCGGTAACTTACAGCTTCGGAAGGACTCTAAGGTAAGCACTTTAATTTTGAAATTGTCCATTATCAAACAAAATGCAAAAAAATTAAGGATGAAACTATTAAAGGACTTTAAAAACTAGGACAGGCTTTTTAGTGATTAATTCATGACATTATGTTTTGATAGATGGAAAATTAGCATATACTAGGGGTCAGCATAATATTGATTTACGCAAGAAAAATTGAAAGCTATCAAATTTTGTGTACTGTTTGTCATAACATTGTTTTCCTGTTTCAGATACCACATTGGAACTATTGCCTTTGGTTCGCTAATCATTGCAATTGTCAGAATGATAAGAGTGATTTTAGAGTACATTGACTACAAAGTAAAACAGCAAACGGATAGTAAGATTGTACGCTGCCTTCTTTGTTGCTGCCGTTGCTGTCTCTGGTGTCTGGAGAAGTTCCTCAAGTTCATCAATAGGTATGAGTTATTTATATTGATAGCTTGTTTGCAAGTTTTTTTTCTGTCTTTTGCCATATATAAGCCTAAATTATTAAGTTAGATATCTATCTAAATAATCATCCATCTACTTACCTACCCATCCATCCGTCTGTATACCCATGCATCCATCTATGCATCCATCTGGGAATATATCCAATAAAAAGAAAATTAAATATGCTGACAATCCATTTTAACATTTATATAATTTTTCCATCTTTTCAGAAATGCCTATGTGTATTGTGCCATTTATGGAAAGAATTTCTGTGTCTCAGCAAAGAATGCCTTCTCTCTTATTATGAGAAATATTGCAAGAGTCGTTGTATTGGACAAGGTAAGATCATAACTCTGAGGAATTGTGGTTGATATTGTATGGTTGGTATTAATTACTCTGGGAGCCACACAGCATTAAGTAATGTTAGTAATTTTAGCATAGGTCTCTTATCTCTTATACTTAACTGGAAGAGAACTTCACATTCAGTTAGTTGAATATGTCTATTGCAATATTAGTTCTCTTAGTGTTTGTTCAGAAACTTCTAACCCATTGGTGTTTGGTAATTGCACTGTCAACTGCAGTTTTGTTTTGTGAATTTTGCACACATAGATGGCTTTGCAGTTGCTTAGACACCAAGAAGTAAATTAGTTGGCTAACTTGACCTCACCTCATATCTCCATTCCTTGAAATATTTGGAAACTTTTTTTTTTTTCTAATCTAGTAATATTATTACTGTTAATATAACTTATATTGAGACTGAGAGTATTATCATTTAATTATCAGCACTACAAACAATAAGAAATAAGAAATAAAGGTCTCCAAAAAATTAAGAAAAAAGGTAAACACAGGTGAGATCATGTAGGACTAGTAATTGACTCCTAAGAGACTAAGCTCTTGTGGAGCCATCTACGTGTAAGCAAAATTAATTAGCTAAATTCACACGCACATGCCAGCTTGCCCTCAGTGGGTTGTAAGCCATTTTTTTCAATCATTCATAATAGGACTTGCTTCTTACTGGTAATGCCTGAATAGCTCTAGCCTATAGATCTTTTGTGGTGTTTTCTAAGCATTTGCATATTTGTTAAACCTTTTTACTGTTTAAGGTTTATGATCATGCAATGTTTATAATACTCTGTACCATTTTAGAAATTTCCCTTGAAATAAATACACTAGTTTAGTTAATTTTATAGTGGAACAGGGAATGATAGCTATGTATATGAAATCAACCTTCATTTATTCTACAAGTGAAAGTTGATGAAAGGAAATTGCCAGGCATCACAGTGACTGATTTTGTCTCTCTTTGTGCCCTCCAGGTAACAGACTTCTTACTCTTCATTGGCAAGATGGTGGTTGTTGGCGGGGTTGCTGTGGCCTCCTTCTTTATATTCAGCGGTGAAGTACCGGTCTTCAAGGATCACATTCCACAGATGAATTACTACCTCACTCCTGTCATCATCATTACTGTCGGCACATTCTTTATTGCCTCGGCCTTCTTCTCTGTCTATTCTATGGCTGTAGATACCTTATTCCTCTCTTTCCTGGAGGACTGTGAGAGAAACGATGGATCAGCAGAAAAGCCTTATTTCATGAGCAAAGATCTAATGAGGATCTTGGAAAAGAAGAACAAATTTAAGGAGGAATGATTTTTTTCCTTCTCATTTTTTAAAAATCTAATGATATAGTTTTGATTTCTTGACTCTGATTAAAAGATATATGTATGTATGGAGATTTTTCTCATAAGAAAGTGTTTTTAAAGACTGAAAGTGACTAGTCATAACAAAAGTGTGCGATTGGAAGAAGCAAGGAAGGTATGAAGATGTGCATCTCATTCCTCAAACTTGATTGATGTTAAAAAAAAATCTTTTAGTTAATATTTACCTCTCTTTGGATAGCAGGCATTTGCTGTGATTTATAATGCTGGAAGAGAGATGCTCAGTTAATTTTGTGATCAGAGTTCATGATTTATGGAAAGGAAACAAGTTTGGTGTTCAGTGATAGAACCAGAATTATATTATTAAATGTGAATAACTTGAATATATAGAGTTTGCCTTTCATGGTGGTTTAAGGCACAAGAGGCCAATTTCAGGATAATTTGAGTGATGACATGTATGGTCACTGAGCTATAATTGTGCAGTAGTTTTTGTTATTGTAATTTTAGAACTATACACAGTTGTATATGTTTTCTTATTTTTTTGTAATAAAATCTTGAATATATTCCTATACAAGATCTGTTTTTATATTCTTTTTTTTATCTGGTTCTTAATTATACCCATCTGCCATAGCAACAGTTTAAGGAATAACATATATCCATCTTATTTCATATTTACAGCTCTGTCAAAGAGCATCAATATCATTTGTTTTTAATTTATTTCAGAAAGTGTTTATTTGGCATCATCCACGACAAAACTTGTTTTTTTTTCTGGGAGAAGTACATTAATGTTGCTCTGCTTCCGATACATTTTGTTTATCTATGAATGATACAGTTACATGACTCTGAATTTTACATGATGTCACAGTTGTTAAACAGCTACCAGTCTACTTCCACCTTAATGCATGTGTGTGACATTTTCTCACATGATTTACTTCCAAGTAGCTTCAGTAGCAAGAAACAACTAGTCATTTGGTCCATGTTTGTATTGTGGTTATTGATAAACATCTTTCATAACACA